AGAAGTATTGTAAGAATCATTCATTATTAATTTTTTTTTTCTTTAGAAATTACGTAGGTACATTATGAATATGATAATGATCAGTTATTAATGATAAAAGTTTATTTTCATGAAATATGGTGGTCAATAAATTACCTACATAACTAAAGACACTTTTTGCCATATAAAAGAAAACGCTCATTTGAATTTAAAATAACTAAAATGTGTACTTTATGTAAATTTCTTTATTAATATATTAAACCTTTGTTAAAATATAGTTCAACTAATTCATCCTAAGTTACGAAGTGTGAACTTATGCATTATCACCATTGAAGTACCTTTAGTCATAGAATAAATGCTTTAATGTAACTACATATGATACACAGTACATTATCAATGGTTGTCAAATTCTCTACAAGTCAACAAAAAAAAAATTAATTATGCTAACATAATGTGCATATAAGTATACATGAATAATCTTCAGATAGCCCATTAAGAAGCAATCTCTTAAAGTAATGATCAGTATAGCTGCCTTCTCAATGCTAGGCAGGGCGTTGAGCAAACAGTTCTGTTATTTTGAACAGATCACACAGAAAGATATATATAGGTTTTATTTTATGTATGAAAATGACTTGAATGCCTATGTTACATTACAATACAAATATTATATTATAAATAAAATTTAGTTTTATGACCATGATTAAATTTTAATTAACGGTAAAAAGGTATAATTTATTTATAAACAATAATAATATATAAATGTTAACATGTACAATATATGACATGATATATTATTAATTGATTTAGGATTGAGAATTCTAGTATTACAATTATTAGTTACTTCAAAAAAAAAAGGGGGGGTTTAGGAACCAATGTTTACCGGTGGCTTATCATTATAAATCAATGAAAGTTTTTTTTATTCCTTGAGCAGGCACAAGCACTTGGATATATGATACATACTACTACAAAAGATTACACCATTATGTATTACTTAAATATATTTAATATGTTAGTGTTACATTTAATCTTCCTTTCACGTTATTTTATTTTTGGGTGATTACTAGTCTATCTTGTTGGTTTATTTAGTGAGGATTATTCTTGCTGGATGTTGAACAGTTTGATGGTTGTCGGATTTGGTTCTGGTAAGCTATGTAACTAGGCTTGCCCAATAGATTACTTACTATATGTTATAAATGTTTAAGCTACATGCTTGCTCATTTGAGTGGACTATGTTTGGCCACTGGATTATTATATATTTTATATTGTTTTAAAATCTATGTATGTAAACTGATTTGAGTGGAATATGTTTGTCCACTGGATTACTATAGATTATATGTTTTTATAAATCTATGTATGTTTACTGATTTGAGTGGACTGTTTGTCCACTGGATTACTATAGATTATATATTTTTATAAATCTATGTATGTTTACTGATTTGAGTGGACTATGTTTGTCCACTGGATTACTATAGATTATATATTTTTATAAATCTATGTATGTTTACTGATTTTAGTGGACTATGTTTGCCCACTGGATTACTATAGATTATATATTTCTATAAATCTATGTATATTTACTGGTTTGAGTGGACTATGTTTGCCCACTGGATTACTATAGATTATATATTTTTATAAATCTATGTATGTTTACTGATTTTAGTGGACTATGTTTGCCCACTGGATTACTATAGATTATACATTTTTAAAAATCTATGTATGTTTACTGATTTGAGTGGACTGTTTGTCCACTGGAATACTATAGATTATATATTTTTATAAATGTATGAACGTTTACTGACTTGAGTGAACTATGTTTGTCCACTGGAATACTATAGATTATAATTTTTATAAATCTATGTATGTTTACTGATTTGAGTGGACTATGGTTGCCCACTGGATTACTATAGATTATATATTTTTATAAATCTATGTATGTTTACTGATTTTAGTGGATTATTTTTGCCCACTGGATTACTATAGATTATATATTTTTAAGCTATATATAGTTATACTGATCTGAGTGGTCTATATTTGGCCACTGGATTAATATAGGTATATATTTCACTATTTTCTTTATGATTTGCAAATAAAATGGTCAAGGATTTTGATAATTGTTAACACATCAGGATGCAGCAGATTGAATTGTGAAATAAAATGATACTTGAATTAATTCTGTCTCATGTGTTATATACAACTATTTACATACATACTATGTGTATAATTTGGTTATTTTTCTGATTTCTCGGTATATGTTGCTGAATGGATCATGTCGAGTAATTTTATATGCCTTACGGTAACGATTGGCAATGAAGTCTGATAGCGAGACCTGTACACAGCCTAGTAACGCCGCCAAGGAGGAAGCGATGAGCTGAAAGGGTTAAGAATAGATCATGTTCCTCTCCACATCCAGTTCAAGTGAGGAAGATGAACGTCGGATGCACCACAAGACTGCTTTAAAAAAAATGTTAAATCATACTTCACGGAATGATTAAAGATTGCGAGAATATTTCTACGATAAGCTAAGTTTATTAAATAGATGTGATATTATAGGGGAAAAGGTTGTTGAATGTATTTATGGCATTAGTGATCGGTCAATTAGAAACGGGGCACAAACTTTAAATAGTCAAGGACCTGATGATTTACTTAATTATCTTGCGTCACAGAAACCCCAGAAATTTGATAGTAGACAAGGAGAGTGCATACCCCAAAAATCATTTAAATCAGTATCAAGTCCCTATGGCTTCGTAAACACGATAACTTTTGAATATATCAATTGTTCAACTCAATCTATTTTTAAAACTCTTCATCTATCATAAATGGCAGTTTTAAGTTTAGGTTTTGTTTAGTCATAATTAATTTCTTTTGGCTGCTAAAAGTCAAATTTTTCGGTGTTTGAGCAGCCTTGTGTGAAATCCTTTTAGTAAATAGACTGCCTCACTCTGTTAGTACGGCGTCAACCGCCATTGTGAGTGGTTACTTTATTGGTTATTTGCAGCGGCTCAAAAATATCGCTGTACGAATAAATACAAAATATCGAAAAACAAATTTCTTACTGTTTTGTATTACTTGATTATTATATTTTATATTACTTGATTATTTTAATAATCAGAGATTTTTATTACAATATTTTAAAAGCACAATAAATAATAGTAGTACGTACTAAAAGTAAATAGGATTTAATATTTATAGATATAGATTCCCTTAACAATACCAATTACGAGTTAAAATAATAGTAGTAGTAGTAGTAGTCTGTGATAATTAATGGACACACTTTTGAAGCTTACATAGACTTCGGCAATGAATGTACACTAATGCGGAAAACTGAAGCTGAGTTTTTAGACTACCTGTTGTGAAGGGTTTTGGTCACTCAACAGTGTCACCAGTGTACTAACTAATCATCAGACATTATTAAGATAGATGAAATGGAATCTTGTATAGAAGTTTAAATTGTCGAGGATGCATTTCTTCAAACATCATTACTTATTGGACAAAAATTTAAGAGAATTACCATTTGTTACAATCTTGAAAGTAACTCTAAACTTATATTTTACAATAGTCCGGGTCAAAATGTGTTCAGTAGGAACGAAGACGTTATACGGCTTCACGTCAGCAATATGGTAGATATTTTCAAAACGGAATTTATTCCAGTTCACACTAAGCCTAGTTTTACAGAGGACGTTTTTATCGAAGGTTATAACGCTATTGAGACTGGTAACGAGTATCGTCTATTTCAGGGTATATTCAATATTAGTGGTGGCAAAGGTGGTAATAGCAAGTGGTTTGTCATCTCATGTTGCAATGCTTTCACAAGATAAGTTAATAACTCGGTCCATCCCGATCACGGAGCACACATTATGCCAAATTAACCGAACATTTAAAGATCCCTCTAAATTAGCACCCCTTGACGAAAACGATATTAAAACCGGATCAGATCTTGACAATCGTCTATTAGATAAACTTTAATTGCTATTGCAGAGCTATCGTGATTGTTTCGCAACATGTCTGGGAGGAATCAGTTGTGTGGACGAAGTACAAATTAAAATTAATTTAATAGATAATATACCAATAGTTTACCGCCTATATCGTCTTTCTCATCACGAACGTCATCAAGTTCGGGAAACCGTAGATGAACTATTGCAAAATGATATAATTCAGGAGTCAAATTCTGATTATGCCAGTCCCATTTTAATGGTCAAAAAGAAAACCGGTGAACAAAGACTTTGTGTAGACTTTGGAGCGTTAAATAATAAAACTGTTAAAGACCGCTTTCCTCTTCCCCTTATTGAAGATCAAATATCTAACCTAAGTGGCAATTATTTTTTTACGACTCCCGAACTATCCATGGAGACAGATGACAACCCAAGCATATTAGCGTATATAATATAGAAAAGAAAAATTGGCTTTTAACATTACAAATAGCAGACCTAGTTATATCTCGTATTTTAAATGTTCTTAAACCTGGAGATGACCAGGAATGTAAAGATATTCAACAGAATTATGTAGTTAAAAATCATACTGTATTTGCAAAAGGAAATATTAACTGTGTTTAGTTGTTCCATAGGTTGCCCTTATAATAAGGATAACAAAGCTAAACGTAAATCAGGATTTTCATATCTAAAATACAAATTCCTTTTCATACCATACATATGGACCATTTCAGACCTTTTTTAGGACTAAAGACGGTAACACGCATATTTTAAAAGTAGTTGACGCTTTTACCAAATATTTGTTTGTGAGAGCAATGAAAAATCTTTAGACAAAAAGCACTATTAAAGTTATTGAGAAAATTTTGTATGATTTTGGTGTACCTGCTAGAATTATATCCGACCAAGGCACAAGTTATACGTCCAAAGCTTTTAAAACCTGTGATACATGTGTACCATGTGGTATCAAGCATATTTTGAACGCATTCGCTTGTCCCAGGGCTAATGAACAGTCTGAAAGATTAAACCAAACTATTTTAACTCTTTGTCAGCACAAAATTCTTTTGGTTATGAACGCGACTGGGACAAGTGCCTGGGCAAAATTCAGTGAGGTATAAATAATACTGTCAATGCAACAACCCAACAATCTGTGACAGAAACTATGTTTGGAGTCAAAATGCGCGACTCCTTATCAAATAAGCTCAATACTTTAGAAGGTTCCAGAAATTTAAATTTACAAGAAATTAGTGACAACATAAATGAAAATATAGAAAAAGAGCAAGCTAAACAAAAAGATCAATATGATGCTAATCAGGTCCCTGCAACCAAATACGCTGTTGGTGATTTAGTCAAAATTTCCCGTAACAATTTTGATAAAGTACAAAGCTTCTGTCAAAGTTTGTGGGTCCATGAAGTACTGGGAAACAATCGTTATAAAATAACAGATGTTCCGGGATTTTCAAGAAAAGGCAAGTTGTATACCACTGTTATTGCAGTTGATCGAATTCGACCCTGGATTCACATTAAAACATTAGAATTGTATAAATCAGATGTAAACACCGCCAGTGAAAATACCGAATAAGTTAAAAATTAATAAGATATTTAAAATATGTATAGATATTAGGTATTTATATTAGAAAGTATGTATAAGTTACGTAAATTTTTTTTTCCTCTCAATTATGTGCATAGTGATAAACGTTACTTGTACACTTTAAGCGCATTATAAAAATACAATGTTGATTACATAAATCTATGAATGTCATGATTGTTTATTTCAATTTGTTTGTAATGCCGGGAGGCATCACGTTGCCGGATGGCCGAATGTCATGATTTCTAAATTTATCATATCATTTTAAATATTCTTTTATAAATTAATGTATAATAATTTACTTAGTTCAAGTAGTTTCATTTTTGTAAGTTGGTAGCTGACTCCGGAAACGTGATGAGATTGGTTAAAAATGGAAACACGAGCGAGAAGGGATAGCGGGTGTGGGAGTTCGGATAGCAATGGCGACAGACAGACGACAGACTTGTGGTTGTTAGAAGACAAGGCTAATGATATTATGCTGACAAACATTGTTGTTAAGAGTAAAAGTATTATTATAAGTGTTTATTGTTTAATAGTAATAATATAACCAACTAAGAACTAGGAGATTGTTTTATTTATTACAGTTGTTAATCATTGTAATTTTCTTTTACTAGGTAAAAGGTAAACCTCTTACAAAAGAAGAGTCAAAGTTTTTGCTTGACCTAATAGAAGGTAGTAAAATAATTACCACCAAAACCACTAACGCCACCAACAGCAAACTTAAAACTGAAGAGTGGATTCGTTTGGCAGAGCGATTCAATGCCACAGCCACGAATTTTCCAAGAACACCACAGCAGTTGCGTTTGAAGTGGGAAAATTTAAAGAAGAACTCGCGCAAGCGCAGCACCAAAATAAGGATGAACCAAATTAAGGTTACATACTTCTAACACATAATATATATCTTTATCCATAGTCTATAACTTCCAATGGAATGTTCTAAAATAATGTTAAATCTAATATTCTTATTGCAGACTGGTGGTGGCCCTGCTGACTATATACCCCCAGATGACATATTAGACCGGGTGACCAGTCTATTAGGAAGTACAGTCAGTGGGTTTACTGTACCGTTTGGGGGTGACAAGGAAATAGCTTGGTTTAATGTTGGTGGTGGTGGTGATGGTGATGGTGGAACAAGTGATAGTGAAAACTTAGGAAATGTGATGGTGCAGACACCACAAATTTTACAGACTTAAATGAAACCACAATCTCAACAACATTATCTAATGAAAAAGGTATTGAGAATGTGGTTGCTGATTACCAAGTATTAGAGGTGGTTGACCAAAATTTGATCACTCCGAATAAAACCAAGAGGCTTACATTTAGTACACCTAGAGCAGGTAATGGTTGTTTTTACGATTTTTGATTTATGAATGATAAATGCTTATTTTGATTAGCCCTCACATTTTGCCCTTCCTCACTCTCTACATTTATGTGATAAAATATTTATTAATTTAACCTTGTTCAAGATTATTTATGTAAGGCTTATTTAATTGCATCTGAGCAAGTCACAGGGAAATTAGACTATGTCAGGCATATAATCACTTGCGGAAGATCTTTTATTTATGAGATAAATGATTTATGTTAATAGGTATGATCTCATCAAAGTATCTTAACCACCTTACTGAGTTGGGCATAATTGCTTATTTTTCACACTGGTCTCCTAGCTGAGATGACAGGATTTTATGAACACTGACGTCTTTGATAAAGTTAAATTATAAACACAGCCCCATTATACATCTATGATATTATTATATGCTAAATTTTATGAAAACAAAAATTGAGTGCACTTATATTGATCTCATATTTGCTTCATATTCCAGTGAAAAAGAAATTGAAGAAAGATGAGAACAGGACTGCGAGGAACTTAGCCATAGCAGAATATTATTCAGCCAAAAAACAATGCTTAGATGCCAAATTAAATAATATTAATTTAGAAAATGATAACTTAAAATTAAAAAATTTGGAGCTTAATTTGAATAACTAAAAACTTAAGTTAGAAACTGAGAAATTAAAATTAGAATTAGAGAGGTTAAGAAAGCAGCAATAATGTTTAGTATAGTATAATAATTATAATACTTATTTAGTCTGTAGTTTAGTAGTAGTAAATTTGAATATATAAGTGTAATTGTATAATAAATTTAGGAAACTTGGCATCTAAGTAGGTATTGTTTCCTGGCTATGTATGGCCTTATTAACCCAACCATCAAAGAATTGTTCTTTATATTTTATATTTGTTTTACAGAAGAGGGCCATAAGAGCAATCAATGATTTAAAACCTATTCGCTTTGACAAAAATTTAAGGAAATTAATATATTAACTTTGGCCTCTCAATACATTTATGAAAATGTAATGTACATTCACACGTACATATACATGTATATGCTTTTATAACAAAATCCCAGAAAACATACAAACTTTGATTTGCTCAAAGTTCAAAAACTTTAAACTATGTTTGTATAAAAAGGGTTATTATAATAAGGAATTTATGGATGATAATAACCCCTGAGGTGATTGTGAGAATCTATTTTTTTTTTAAAAAACGTTACCCCCACACTAGGATTTTCTCCTGTGTCATGGAGGCAGTTTACAAACATATATCGCACAGGGACAGACATCCAGACCCGGAACAATTATTTGTAGGCCATACAAATACTTGTTCAGTGCGGGATTCGAACCCGCGGCTCCAAGCGTTGCAACTCATTGCTATGCCACGGAGCCGTCGAATGATTGGTTTGTGTTGTTAATTGTGTAACATATATGATTTTAAGCTGTTATTTTTTTAAATCCCGCTGGGTTTCTTGCTGGTTCTTCCCAGGACAGAGGTTCTTTCTGAACCAGTGGTAATTAAACATTTCAGTAAGTATTATTTATAATCTACATTTAATAAAAAACTTTCTATTTCTACTGTCTAAATGATATAGTGGTAAAGAATAATATTTTAACATTGAATTTAAATGAAATTGCTTAAAATAAAAAATTTTATCACCATCATATGATTGTTTATTTTTATACTATTATTTTGAATAAACTAATTTGACAGATTTTATTGTCTTTAATTTATACTTGTTTTTAATTCCTAAACTTTTAATAATAATTTAAAATTAAAAAATATGTACAACCGACTTCAATATAAATTATTAAGAATAACTTAAAAACTATTGGTCCGACCTTAATCAAATTCATATGGGACCACATGAGAAGCACCAACTTTCAAATAAAAAAAGAATCATCGAATCGAATCATCAACTAAGAAAAAGTTTTGAGGTAACACATACAGTCGAATTCAGTACCTCCTCCTTTTAAAAAGTTTGTAGAAAATAATTTTATATACATACAGTGAATATAATAGTAATTTGTATGTGGTAGAGCCATGCTGCAGTTATATTAATAGTATAGTTGTAGAACGAATGGGTCGGCTTGGCCAGGGAAGGACCACGCTCTCACAGAATACCAGCTTAACACTGCTGTTTCGTATGGTGACAGTAGGGAACTGGCGACCCTTTTTACTGAAAAGAGGCATTCCATCTTAGTCCTCACGGGTGACAACGCATCTGCATTTTGATTCTTTATTGAGGATAGATGTGGGTGTCTGGGTCACAGTAACTGCTTACAATCAGGTGGATTGTGTGCTCGTTTGTCACCATATCATGAAAAAATCATTTTTTAAAAACGAATACCTACCGGCGTAAGTCAAACTTACTAATGACTATTTTCATTAATACTTCAACTGAGTTACTTATAGCAGATGTTTATTACAGTATTATTTGTTGACACCTATACTTTAATAATGCATACAATTATAAGGTCTAACTTATTTTTGACCAGCTTTTAGCAATATTTTTATTGATTTGTGTCATTTTTTAGAATATTTGTGTTAATGCAATAATCATTAAAGTAAGTAAAATATTCATATATTTATTTATTCCATTCCCTATTACAAAAGAATTAACGCCATTATGCATTCTCTACTAGTCAACCCATAGTTCTATTTTCTGTGAAGTAATGTAGTGTTTTTATGAAGTAATTATGTTATTATAAAAATAATTACTTTTCTATTATTAATCTTTTCAAATAAAAATATTAACTATGAAACAGGACAGGAATTGGATTTAGGTACTTGTTCTTTTTTTGTTTCTTTTTTCTTAAGATTAAAACTGAAAATTGATTCACTGTTGAGAGCCTTACCTCAAATTTGGAAATAAAGTTTAACTTAGGTTTAAAATTTGTATGTTTAATAAAGCAAACATTGATTTGAAAAGTATTTATTTATCTAAAAAAATTATTTACAAGTGCTGCTCTTTCACTGACATCTTGAACTTCCGAAAAGTACATATCTTCATTTATTTCCACTATTGGCAGCTCCACTTCTGAAGGAACTTCCTCTAAGTTGTGGTTCCTACAAATATTATGCAACACTGCGGTAGCAATTATTATTGCCTGAACCTTAGGCAATGATAAACGCAGTGTTAATGCCACAACAGGGAAGCGACGCTGCCAGACACCAAATGTTCTGAGAAAAAGATAAATGTATATTAGAATTGACCTTTTTAAATGGGTATATAATATTAAAAGCTCAATGATTACGAGTAGACTATCCTCATCCATAATATAAACTATTAAATAAAAAAGCATCATTAAAGTAATTTCTCAATTGATTAAGATATAATATATATATATATATATATATATATGACAATTTATAGTAGAATTGAGAACCTCCTGTTTCCTGCCAAAAATAAAATACCTAATATTTGTAAGATCTAAACAAAATAGCTACCTTTCAATAATATTCCTAGTCTTTATGTGTGCTTCATTATAGCGCTGTTCAGCTTCAGTAACAGGATTTATAAGAGGTGTTAGTAAATATGGCCTGTTTGGGTAAGCACTGTCACCAAGCATCCAACGGTTACCAAACAGACCTGCATCACATTGGGCTGTAAATAAAGATATTTAATTAAGTACATTTTGATAACATTAAAACATAACAAAAGCAAATAAAACTATTAAACCAGTCAGAAACCTCTGAGAATTGAGTTGTTAAATATTGTGGCATCATGTGTCGAGCCTGGCCAACGGGCAATCACATTCATGAATTTTAAATCAGCATCACAGATTGCCTGGACATTTAAGGAAAAGTAACCTTTACGATTCCTAAATTCTTCACCAATTACATGACCTAGAAGAAATCATAGTTAATGTATCTTTTTATATAGAATAAGTGTCAAACAAGTATGCAGTTCACCTGATGGTAAGAAAATGCTGTTGCCCACAGACCTACATCTGCTCTCCATTTAAAATTAAAATGTAGATGCATTGTCACGCCTGAGGACTAACACAAAATGCCTTGTTATCACATTTTATATACATAGCATATTTAACATTGGTATTCTGTTTCTGTGAGTGCAGTTCTTCCCCTTTTGAGCCAACCTTCCTAACACATGTCTGTCTAATATAGTTGAATAGTGTATGTTCTATTTATATATGATATTTATGAAGAGAAAATATACAATTTTAGTCTGTATAATATTAGGAAATACTCACATGGCGATTGGATTCGTATATGAGTGCAATCAATTGCAGCTAAAACTCTAGGAAATCCTGCAATATGGTAGAATTTTTCAGCACTTTGTTGGTGTATTACAACGTATTCATCATATAAGTTCGCAATTGCTGATGATATATCACGAACTATTCTACCTGCTGTGGATATTGATACTCCAACAAAGTCCGCTACAGAAATTAACATCGTGCCTAACGCATAAAATCGTAATGTCAATAAAAGTTGATGAAGTGGCGAAACCCCATTGTTCCTGAAATTTTAAAACCATTAATTACTAAATAAAGTAAGGTTAAGTACTATCTTTTGAAAGTAAAAAATTTTGTTTAATGTAATGTTTTACATCATCTCGAAAATTATTTACCTTGTGGAGTTACACGAATAAACGGCATCAATTTTATTAATAGCGAATTGAAAGCAGGTTTGGATAACCTAAACTTAAACATGAACTCGGCATCATCCAGACTCTGCATGTAGTTCAACCTTCTAATTTTTCGTGAAGAAGCGCGGTGTCTATCTTCAGATTCGCTATCAGTATCCCAATCGGATAATTGAGCCAGCACCTCCAAATCACTGTCATCACTATCACTGTAAAATATCGATATTTCCATTTTCTTATTTTAATAAAAATAACGCTGTGACGAAATCCCCGGTATTTCTTGGATTGCAATCCCGATCGTTTCCAGCGATCTAAACGAAATGTCAAAATCGACAGATAGGTTACACGCGCAAACTGTCATTTTCGACCAGAGGCCAATCGTTTTTCTGTGATCCGCCCTATGTAATGGATGCCATACACGATCAAGTCTACCGTCAAGTATGCAGCGCGCTTGAAGCGGCGTCCGGTTAACTTGACGGTGTATGGCTGTGGGTGTGCATGACAAGTCTACTTGAAGCAAAAATTGAATTTCGATTCTGCCGACTTGATCAAGCTTGCAGCGTCATGCAAACTTGAACGTGTGTATGAGCGGTCAAGTATGCATGACGTTAGTCGGCTTCGGCAAGTGAAGACGTACGCATGTACCGCACGTGACGAGCGCCATGTCGCAAAATACTGCGCGTTATAGAGAAGTCCTCTGCGACTTCATTAATATTTATAGAAATGAGCCATGTTTGTGGCAAATAAAAAATAAATTGTACCACAGCAGGTAAGTGTACATATACTCGTATATATTTACAACGCAACCAATTAAATACTTTTTTTTTACTTATTTCACTAAAAGATAGGAAAAGTAATGCAAACGTGAACTACCTACTCGTAATAAGATTTTATTTATGTAAAAAGTAAGAAGTCTTGAGATGTGATAACGAAATATAAGTTTCAAAGATGTTTTATAGATCATAAAACATCTTTGATAAGTTTGTTTTCTTTTATTTTCTACTGATTTTTTGAGTGTTGCATAGTGTTATCCGCTTTTGTTAATCGCTTTTACAACAAAATTCCAGAAAATATACAAAATTTGACATGCTCAAAGTTCAAAAACTTTATTAAACTAAGTTTGTATAAGAACTGTTATTATAATATTAAAGAATTTATAAATGACAATAACTCCTGGAAATGAGGTGATCGCTACCAAGCTATTAATAATTTGTTGTGTTGTTAATTCGTGAACATAGGTACCTACATGATTGTAAGAAAACCGTTGAAGTGGGCTATCGCCGGACTAACCAGAGTAAAACATAATTTCTATAAAAACCTCAAAAACGCCGTCATAAGGTCTAAAATTGCGTAGCGCCCGCGACTATTAAAACCGCTTAGAAATCGCGTAGAATCTTAAAATATTTAAAAAAAATTATTGATTTTAGCAATCAAAATAATGAGCAAGTAAATTACGAATATTGATTTCATGAATGTATTCGAGTGGTTTTCAAGCATATAGATTAAGTAATTTCGTTGTAATTTCAACTATAGTGATTTTTTAGAGGTGTTTTCGCAAATTATTATGATCGAGTCAAAATTTTACAATCGTGTTTTTGAGAAAGCAAACTCAAGATAAAGACATGAATTTACCTATATCAAAATTCCAGTTTCGTTAGTCGTGTCATACTCCTATACTATTCGTTGAAAGGAGGTGCATTTTTTCGCGGTGTCGCCTTAAAAAAAAGTCCCGCTGGGTTTCTTGCTGGTTCTTCCCAGGCTTCCAGAGGTTTTTTTTTTCGAACCAGTGGCAATTAAACAAAAGTGTGACTTTCAATAAGTATTATTTAAAATCTATATTGAATAAAAAAGTTTCTGTTTCTGTTATTAGTAATACCCGCGCACGTAATTAAAAATTGTAAAAATACCCTACCTACGTTTAATGCAATTTTCAAGCCTGAGCTTGAGTAGGAAAGTTGTTTCCCTTGGTGTATAATATATTTTGAGAACTTTTTGTTGAATACCTAATTGTACCTACATGTAGTATAAAAATACTTTTATTTCAGAGACAAGAGAAATGCGGCTCTAGATAAACTAGTTGCGAAGTACAAAGAAGTGGAAGAAAGCGCAGACCGTGAAACGGTTTTAAAAAAAATTAATTCGTTGAGGACGAATTATAAAAAAGAAAAAAAGAAAGTCGAAAATTCAAAACGGTCTGGTGCCGGAGCTGACGTTATATTTGAACCTAAGCTTTGGTATTTCAAGGAGTTAATATTTTTAGATGACCAAATTGACCCAAGGACTTCTTGTTCAAATATTAATGACGAAGTAGAGGATCTGCGCGATGAACGAGACGAGGAGGAAGAGTCAACTGTAAGTATAGGCAGGCCTCTATCACTCTTGCTATCTGCGTGAAATAAAATCCTAATCGGTATATAATAGAATACACCGAGGTGTTTTGTAATGTATTAGTATTTTTCTGCCGACTTCCAAAAAGGAGACGGTACTCAATTCGACTGTATGGTTTTTAATGTGTGTTACCTAATAACTTTTTACTGGGTAAACCGATTTCGATGATTCTTTTTTTATTTGAAAGCTGATACTTCTCGTGTGGTCCCGTATGAATTTGATCAAGGTCAGACCAATAGTTTTTGAGTTATTCTTAATAACTTATATTGAAGTCGGCTGTACAAAATTTTTAATTTTAAATTATGTTTTATGTTGTTAAAAAAACGTTACCCCCACACTAGGATCTTCTCTTGCATCGTGGAGGCAGTTAACAAACATAAATTGCGCAAGAACAAACATCTAGACTCGGAACAATTATTTGTAGGCCATACAAATACTTTTTCCGAGCGAGATTCGAACCCGCTGCCCCAGCGTTGCAACTCATTGCTAAGTCAAAACTATTTGTTCTATGCGAGAGAAGGTTAATATGCAACATCGAGGAAAATTAAGATTATACAACGTGAACGTCTTTGAAACTCATAATTTACCTACTTACCATTTTCAACCGACTTCAAAAAAGCAGGAGGTACTCAATTCGACTGTTTTTTTAAATGTGTGTTACCTCAGAACTTTTTCTAGATGAATCGATTTTGATGATTCCATTTTTATTTGAAAGCTGGTGCTTATAATTTAAACAGCCCATATAAATTTGATCAAGATCTGACCAATAGTTTTGTAACTATCCTTAATAATGCGTATTTGTATTGAAGTCGGTTGTACAACATTTTTAATTTCATTATTTGTCTCTCTTCCTCTCTTTTCAAAAAACGTTTTAAAACTAGGATTTTCTCCTATATCGCAGGGACAGTTTATATACATAGAACAGACCCAGGACAATTATTTGTAGGCCATACAAATACTTGTTCCGTACGGGATTCGAACCCGTGGCCCTTAGCGCTGCAATTCATTACTAAGCCACTGCGCCACGGAGCCGTTACTTGTCTGTTTCACATTTTTTGCTATTTACAAACATGCGATACGTGACTTCATTATTAATGAAAGAGTGGCAATGAGAAAAGCTGCTAATTTCAATCTTTCTTTAATCGACCAAGTATAAAACATGAACCAGTATACACTGATCTTGCATTAGTAGGTAGTCATTAGTACTGGAAGGTCTACTTACACTGAACTTTTTATAAGGTCATTGGTATTATACGCGAAAATCTCTAAATGTGTGATTTTTATGTTTTAGGATGCTGAGATTAATCAAGATAATAGCCTACAAACACAACTAAATGAACAAAATGTTACTGATGATAACACATCAAGCAACAAAACTAGCAGGCCAACACCAAGGAAAAAAAATGATAGAGATCTTATCAACAGCGTCCTACAATCCGTTAATGATCATTTTAAGCGTCCTAGGGACGAAATTAAACAAGAAGATCGTCACGATATTTATTGTAAGTCCATTGCAAGTAAACTTCGTGACTTACCAAGAAAACAAAGAATGCTGGCTGAAAAATTAATTAACGAAGTTTTGTTTGAAGCTGAGTGGGGAAATCTAACACTAGATTTCAAACTTATTAATATTGGTCACACTGATAATCGATATTCTCCTTCCTCGTCAACTAATTTTTCGGCAGCATACCAATACTCGCCTCCCGGTCATTCGTTGCATCAAACAATCCAAAATTCGATCCCTTCATCTAATATACAGCATCAAACAATCCCAACTCCATCTTCACCTAACATGCAACGACCTACCACACCATCATATCAAGTGTTATATTCCAATAATTCCTCATATACAAACTCAAATCCCATTATTTCACAAAACATGCAGAATCAAATGAACCCAAGTCCAATTCCTTCACAATCTCTTCCTATACAAAATGATGATCCTCCTACAGTATTACTATCAATTCCAGAAAATTCAGCAGCATCCTTTATCACCAATTTTCGAATTTAGTGTCTAGTTTATTAATTTAATTTGTCGAATCAGATTGTTTGCTAGGAAATAAATAAATAGTACCTAGAAATTTCTTTTATTGTACCTACTTCATTATTTGATATAGGAGAATAAATAAATATATAACTTTTAATGATATTGTTTTATTTGCATTCTACCATTTTGTACATTTAAATAGGTGTTACCAAAATAGGGTTAATAATGATAATCTATTGAGGCTATTATCATCTTATTTACAATACATGCCAAAGATAGATGTTTTATTTTAAACAAAATTGTTCTGCCACTGCACTTTGCCTTCGTTTACAAAGTAATTTTGAAACTCTTGTCTGATCATTTTAGCATCATTAGTTATGTTACCATGATTTCTTCGTTGTAAAATTTCCATGTTCGACCTTGCAGTAGTGTACCCATCGGTAACAATTGTCCCGTTAAAAGTGTTTTCTTGATAAAAACATTGTCGAGGCGCATAAGAGTTGGGTACATGCTCCATTAAAAAATTGTGTAAAGCGATAGTAGCCATCACTACATTCTGTATATTTTTTGGCTCTAAGTTTATTTGAGTACGGAAAATGCGAAATCGTGAAGATAATATGCCAAATGCGTTCTCAACGACATTTCTTCCGCGAGATAATCTATAGTTAAAAATTTTTTTTTCGTGGGTATTTAAATCTCCTTGGCGATATGGCTTTATCATATCGGTTCTCAAAGGAAACGCATCATCACCAATAAAGACGTACGGTAAACATCTTGAGCTGCCTTCGATATTTTCGGGGTTTGGAATATTTAACTTTTTATTTTGCAACTTTTGGAAAAACTTAGTATTTTGTAACACTCCTCCATCGGAAACTCTTCCATTTGTTCCAAAATCAGCTAGTAAAAACCGATATCTTGCGTCAACTATCGCCATGAGAACCATGCTGTGGCGTCCTTTGTAGTTGTAGTAATAAGAATCGCTGTCAGCAGGAGGAATTATATCAACATGCTTCCCATCTATTGCCCCAAGACAATGAGGGAAATTCCAAATTTCTTCAAACTGGTGAGCGATTTCTCTCCATTTATTAGCAGTATCGGGAAACTGTAAAAAAGCATCACAACTATTACATATTGACAAAAGTAACACATGTCTCTGCCCCTACTAAAAAGATTTAGGAAACATGAAAGTAAAACTGATAATTATATTAAGTATATATCTAACTATCTAGAGATATTTTCATAAAATTTTTTTATTTATATTTTTTTCTTAATTCTAATAGTATTAAGCATATATTATATTTATCACTTATTATTTGGTTTTTACAGCATCGTCTTGGTTTTGTAAAGTTATGATGCTGTTACTGTTTTTGTAATAAATAAATAAATAAAAATAAAATCTTTTAGTTATTTACATTTTAGAAATCTTATATTCGATTTTCACATGCAACGCTCACTTTATGTCTAGGTATATTATTATCGAATTGTACCTAATAAAGCCAAGAGCGGGAGCCAGGATACTGATAGCACAGGGTAACCTAGTTTGGGCTCCTGTCTCCCAGAACAATTAAAAATGCTTTAACTATTTTTGTAAGAAATTTAACTGTGTAAAATGTGGGAGAAATAAATGTTTATTATTATTATTATTATCTCACCTGCATATAATCATTTTGCAGAACTTTATATATAGCAGCACATGTTTCTGGAATTATTCGTCCTAAAGCTTGAGGCGATATTATGGCTGAATATTTTAGACACTCATATGATCTCCCTGATGCAAGAAATCTTAAAGTTGCCAATAGTCTTTCATGTGCCGTAATAGCATTTCTCATGACAGTGTCTTCTTTCTGAATTAGGGGAGTCACCATAGATAGAAGTTTTAAATAAGTTTCTTCATTCATTCGTACATAGTTACGATAATCTTTCGGAGCAATCCTTAATTCTTTCACTAAATTTATATGAGATAATTTTTTTCGTTTCATTAACCAGTTTTTGCACCACATCGAACGATCTTTCCTTTTTGTTTTCTTAATTGCGAGCGATAAGCCCAATATGGCTAACGCATCGTCGTCCGTCACTAGTGACGCCATGGTTTCAACTAATGCGGCATCATGCAAACTTGACGGCGAACTTGAACGTGTGTGGCCTATATGGATGCACTGCAAACTTGACGCCGCTTCAAGCGCGCTGCAAACTTGACGGTAAACTTGATCGTGTATGGCCGGCATAAGATAGATTGATTTGATAGCAAACTCAATGCATAGATTGTTTATTGGCACGCTTAACCCACAAAATAGATTAAAATATCAATCTTAGATAGCTAAAATTGGATCAGGATTGATTATTACTTAATTTCGGGCGTAAGCAAACAGGTAATTGAATTTAGTGTTGTTTGTGGGTTCTAGTTATTAGGTAAGGTTGAAAAGATGGTAAGTTGTAGCATTTTAGGATGCAACAGCATCAGTCAACGAAAAATTGATAATATTACCTTTCATCGGTAAGTTTGTTTTGGTTTTACATTTGCTACTTGTACTGATTAATATCTATTGTTTTGAATATAAACTGTAACATTTCATGTGTTTAATGAACTTTGTGATGTATTTTGTCAAATATTTGGACTCCCAAATTGAAAATACTTCATGATAATGCTCCTTAATTTGAACGGTCATTCGAAAGCTTAAAGTCATAACAAACGTGTACTTATTTATTTGGTAGGATTATAGAAACTTTAGGGATATCAGCGAGTACAATAATGTTTTGCATTGTTGAATAATAATTGTTATTGTGATTAGTAGTTATGTCCATAAATATGAATCACATAATGTTATACATATACATACAATTTTATGTTCAGCTTTAAAGGAAACTCCTTATTGCCCTACAACTCTTCAATCATTTTCCATATTACATAGATGTCACAAATAATATTATGTAAGTATCAACCTGAAAACATGTTTGGATTCAAGTACATAAACATTGGGCAAAGTATATTTAATTTCACAAAATATGTATTGCCTGAAATCAGATGCACAAAACTTTATTGCATTCCATTAATTATACATTAGCAACAATTACATTACAATATTTATTAAAAAAATAAATAAATATGTCATACTAATATAAAAATAAATATAAACATAGATAAAATAATAAATAAATAAATAAGTCTTAATCTTAAGGTACACAATAACACAACAACATAAGATAATATTCTCAATTAATGATGTAGAAAAAAATTGATGATAATATACTTACCGTTACCATTAGTCAGTATCAAAAGTCAAAAGTTATAGTTTTTGTGATAGTTGCCTAGCTTGGCAGGAGAATTGGCAACTGCAGTTATTTGGAGACAAACTGTGTGGGAGGCCTATGTTTAGCTGTGGAGGACATAACTATGTTAGGCTGTAATTGTATTAATTAACAATATCTAAAGCTTAATATGTACATAATTTTTTTAAATGTTTGGTATGAGTAATATTATCATTACATTTACATATACTTGCTATTTAATTAAATCAATTGATATTGTATTAATTGTTATAGGTATTGTATTTATGCACAGATAAAGCACAGCATAAAAATAAATACTTGATTTTTTTTTTGTTAAATGCCTTGATATAAAAGTGTACTATATATTTAATATATTAATTTCTTTTAAATATATTATTTCACAGCTTTTCTAAGGAATCAGCTATCCGTAACTGTTGGATAATCGCTACTGGTAGTAATTATATGTAACCAACAAAACTTAGCAGTATATGCTCAAAACATTATGAGCCTCATTGTTTTAGGTGGACTAAATATACTTAACTTATGTAATTTATAATATAACTAAGATATTTTTTTAAAACGTTATAATTTCTTGTATCTTGTTGTTTCTCCATAAGTGATATAAGTTTGACCTTGTTAGTAGTTATGATTTTTGACATTGTTCTGTATGTATTAAAAATTGACTAGCATTGCTTGTTTTATTTTCAAATGCTGATATTCTGTATTATTAAGAGTTGTAATAATTTGATTGCATGACAATGACAAAATATTTGCTTATAGATGGATTGATTGATTTTCATTTGAATAGAATATATATCTTTACTGTCTATCAAAAGTCTACTGTTGAACATAAACATGATTATAGTTATTTGACATAGTTTCAACGCTTGGAAAGCGGGTTGTCAACCACTGTTTCTTTTTATTTAGCTGTTATCAGGAAGATGCTGCTGTTTATCTTCTTTGATGTTTCCATATGTCGCCTCATACACCACCCATGGAATGATATGAGGTAGCAGATAATCTTACACTGCATGGTAAATTAAAATAGAATATTATAAAACATTCGTTTTTATTTTATATACCAACATATTACAAAAACAAACCCTTTGTTGATGCTTTACAACGTATATTAACTAAAACATCTTACCACCTTAACCATTAGGTAACATGATTAAACCACCTAACCATAAGTAAGTCACCTAAAAAAGGCCTTCCCTAGATATCCTCATAGGATGACTTTTACCATAGTTGCCACGCCTGCGTGAAAATGCATTATGCTGGTTGGCCATCGCAGTTATTTATTATTTTAAATTTTCATCGGGAAAGTGCTGCTGCCCTATCCCCATCTTGTATTATTGCTTACGACGCGGGGTAATATCATTCCGTGTACAGACAAATTCTCTTGTACGCCACAACTTGCCGCACACAAGACACTAACTTAGCAAATCATGCAGGAAATCGCGGGAGTAGCCTCTTTACCGTGTTTTGTACTACAAAACCTAAGTGGAAAGCCTTTCCTTTCGGAGGTCTGTGTTCAGCACTGAACTTGTGATGGAATGGTATGTTAAAACATTATTGATTTTTTTTTTGTAAAAAAAAACTCGACACGAGGAAATTTTTGTTTATTATTTAATATATTTATTCCTAATTAATATTTAAGTACATACATAGCATACTGTTATTTATTAGCAATATCACACTTTGTGCTAGTAGCGTTTTCACTTAGTGCCGTCGAAATCCAAAGAGTTTATTGAATGTCCAGTAAAATCGTCGTTTCGCCGTTGAATACAGAATGATGATTCTGTTTTTACGCCGTTTCCGCCCGTAGTTTTTAGTCATAGAAATGAATTAATCATCTGAATTATAAAAGAACATTTTTTATGGTAACAATTAAGTTTTTTGTATGAATGTAAGTGCTGTGAATATAAATAAACCCATAACGGGGGAAATGGAACAATATCTGGTAACCCAGTGAAAGTACCTCCCGCCTATTTCTATCTCAAAAGCATACGCGAATGCTTTATCTAGTCAATCCTCTATCTACGATTAAACGTTATATTTCTTAACTGCAATCCCATCTGATTTTAAGTTATGATATAGCCCTAATGGCTAAATACTCAAACGCTGCTCAATTTTAAAATGTCGTTAAATCTCCTGCTTCACTTTGACTTAAAATGATAGAGACAGCACGAGACCTGACGGCATCTTAAAATTGAGTAACGTTTGAGTATTTGGACATAAGTGGTTAATCGTACTGACTAAGCTTAAAAGTCTATTCATAATCATTCTTGCCTTGAAGATACTTATATTGTCATCGGAAGGAAAGACAGACGCTAGGATATTCTTCCTTTTATTATGTTATACGCAACTGCAGAGCGTTTGGTATAGATACGAGGCATTCCAACATAGTCCTCAGGGGTGACGACGCATCTGCATTTTGATTCGTAATCGAGGATAAATGTAGATGTCTATGGGCCGCAGCATCCACGTACAATCAAGTGGACTGTGTGCTCGTTTGTCACCCTTATTCTATAAAAAAAGGACCATAGAAGTTTTTAATGTAATTAAAAAATACACCAGCTTGTTTGAGGATCTTAATATTTTTTTTTAAGAATTTTACTCACTTTTTTAAATGTTTTATCATAATAATTATTCAATGTTTAATAGTATATCATCAAATGACTTGTACTGTTAATATGAGGCTCATAATCCGAGTTAATAATAATAGAAAATAAGTTATAAAATATATATCATGGTTGGTGACGCGTGGTTCAAAATTGGAATAAAGTGGACTGTAATAGGTAGTTGGAATTGGATTTCGTTGAAATTTGCAACCGACACATAAAACTGAAGGTACGCACCTGGAGAACGCCGTCAGCTTCTTTTCTTACTTGAGGTTGACACTCGCGTGGTACACTCCTAGTTTTCTTGCGCGATTTACACTTATTTTATACAATTCACGGCCGTGATTTTAAGCGTATGATAATTAAACATATATGCGAGTCGCGAGCGTGACACAATAGCTTCCGCGTGCGGGCGTGTTCTTACTTAGACTTCTCCTTCTACCCCATTGTCGGTCGCAAGAAGGAATTAGTGGAATAAATGAAGGTATTATAGAGGAAATCTGATTCGTCGATAAGATTGACCAAAACGCGGAATATTTTAATTTGAGAAATGGCGGTAACATTTCCCCCGCCCTTAAAGGGTCGCCTTTAAAAGAAAATAATAATAAGATGCGATAAATACAATTAATACTTACTAAAACTAAGCGAATACAAATATATATATATATATATATATATATATATATATATATATATATATATATATATAATATTATATATATATATATATATATATATATATATATATATATATATATATATATATAATATTATATTACATAGATGTAAAGATGTAAGATGTGAGCGATGTAGAGTTTATTATTGTGTAGGTAACGGACACAAGCGCACCACTGGTCGCACGAGTGTACCCCTTGCCGTTTTTACTGTAGCGACACGAACTATACCGTCCTTAGACGGGTGAACCTTTACGATCACTCCCAAAGGCCAGGAGAGGGTCGGTGAATTATCATTTATAATTATGACAACTGTGCCCACCTTTACGGGGACCGAGCATTGAGTCCATTTACGCCGCGCCTGCAGTTGATGCAGATATTCAGTTCTCCAACGACGCCAAAAGGATTGGACTAATTTATCTAAGAGTGTATGTCGTTGAAGTAAATTAATTGGCGAAGATTCCACATCAGGTGCAGGTAGAGAGCGCAATGGTAACGTATTCAAAAAGTGTGCGGGTGTTAAAGCCGTCGGTTCAGCTGGATCGGAGCTAAGCACAGTGAGAAGGACGAGAGTTTAGTAAACATTCTATTTGAGCGAGGATTGTGATTAACTCCTCATACGCAAGGATCTGCTGTCCAATAACCTTAAAAAGATGTTTTTTTACACATTTCACCATACTCTCCCAACAACCACCGAAATGTGGGGCGGCAGGCGCTATGAACTTGAATTCAATGCGACTTTCGGCCAATTCTTCTTCTAAACGCGGGCGGTATTCCTTTGTGACAAAATTATATAAATCTCGTAGATTAGATCGAGTGTCTATAAAATTTGTTCCACGATCAGAGTAAAGACATTTCACGGGACCCCGTCGCGATAGGAAGCGCTTTAAAGCTGCGATAAAACTCACAGTGGAAAGATCCGTGGCTACTTCGATGTGGAGTGCGCGCGTAGTAAGACAAGTAAATATGCATAGGTAAGCCTTGCGAGTTTTAACACCTCGAGCTCGTATGGGCGTATACAATATAGGGCCGCAATAATCACAGCCAGTATGAGCGAAAGCTTTCTCCGCTTGCGTGACTCTATGTCCCGGCAGAGCAGACATTAAAGAAAATCGCGGGCGCGGTTTTAATTTAAAGCAAGTGTTACACTTATTAATTCTAGACCGAATAATTCGTCTAGCGGACAAGATCCAAAATCGTTGTCTTAACAAAGACATGAGCAGCTCTGGGCCGGCATGTAAATATTTCTTGTGATAGTAGTCGATCAAAGACTCTACAAGAGCGTCATGACGCGGTAAAATAATCGGAAATTTGTATTCTGAACTTTCAGCGGAGTTGGTAAGGCGGCCACCAACGTGGATGAGGCCATCGCATAAAAATGGCTTAAGCTTCATTAGCGCGGGCGAGCAATTACTACCGGCTCCCAGCTGTCTAATGTCGAATGCAACATGTCTTTTTTGAATATCGCCTATTATCATATGCTCTGCGGCGCTTATATCGAACGCGGTAACTGCTATCGAACCGGAACGGGGTAGTTTATTTATAAATCTGCAGACATAAACAAGGATACGCGTGAGTCTACTCCAGGAGGAGATGCGTTTATTAAGATCTTGAACTAAGGACGTTTCTGGTTCTGACGTAGTAATGGGGTGTGCGGTTATTTTCTCTTCCGGTACGTTGTCTAGCGCTATAGTATTATGGTCTGTATTAGTGATAGGCCACAGTGAGAGGTCTTGCGCGAGCCAGGACGGACCTTGTGACCATAATGGATGAGATATTAGCCTTTCGGGTGTAAGACCTCTCGATAAACAATCAGCTGGATTATCTATTCCCGCAACGTGATGAAAATTAGCGGCTGGTAAATTGTCAATAATCTTGACGACGCGGTTAGCGACAAAAGTTTGCCAGCGGTGCGGAGAAGAGTTTATCCAACAAAGTGTGACCATTGAGTCTGTGAACGCGTACATATCACTAATATGATAGCGTGAATCGTAGGTGTCATGCACGCGTTTAATTAGTCTTGCCAGTAATTCGGCAGCACAGAGTTCGAGACGTGCAATAGACAAAGGCTTCATTGGTGAGACCTTTGACTTGGCGCAGACGAGTCGCGTCGTAACCTGGCTTGCTTGAGTAATATGGGCGTATACCACTGCTCCATAAGCACGCTCACTAGCATCAGAAAAGCCGACCAGTCGTACAACGCAATGTTCGAAGACCCCCAAATGTCGCGGTATTTTGACGTCATTGAGTAGCGGTAACTCTATACAAAACCTTTTCCAGGTTTCGACTATTTGCTGGGGCGGACAATCGTCCCAATCAAGTTTCAATAGCCACAAATCCTTTATGAGAAGTTTAGCGAAGAGAACAACAGGCGCTACGAAGCCCATTATGTCCCAAATTCTAGCTACAGTGGCTAAAATGATTCGTTTTGAACACCTTTCGTCAAGCTTGGTTACTTTAAATTCAAAACAATCGCGAGATTTATCCCAACTCAAGCCCAAAATTTTAAATTGAACGGTTTTATCAAATTCAAGAGGTTCAGACATCTTATATGACGAAGGCAGAGCGCTTAAGACCGAGTCGGAATTACATGTCCATTTTACTAAATCGAACTGCGCACGTTTAAATAACTCAATCAGCTCATTAGCAGCTGATGCAGCTTCCTCCTCCGACATAACACTAAAAACGATATCGTCCATATAGATATAGCGAGAAGCAATTATCTTTGCTAACCGAAATGAATCTCCATCATCCGCAATGAGTTGCTGAATGACACGGAGCGCGTGATACGGGCTGGACCTAAGTCCAAAACAAACCCTATTAAATTCATATTCGGTAAGTTCTTCTTGCGGGTGAAAACGATATAACATGCGTTGAAAGCGACGATCGCGCTTATTCATTACTAGCTTTTTACCCGCGGCTTCGCTCGCGTGCGCTTGAATTTAGGGACATCATTAAATGCTGTTCCGTGTCAAATTTAGAAATATTCGATCACTTTTATAGTCACCTTGGTGTCTATGTCTCTATGTCTGTCAGAGATTTTTTTTCATTCTAAAATACTATTAGACGTAGATGATTGGTAACATGCTACAGAAACACGTGAATATACTTATAATGTCTAGAAACTTCTACTATTTTTTATATATGGCGTGTCTTCCGATTCCGATGTATCCATAAGAAAGGTAAATAGTCTTGAAATCAAAATGTATTATTATTACTTACATTTTACTCTTTACATATATATATTCATAGTTAAAGTAAATTTAGTTTTAACAAAGTAAAAGGTCCTATTTAATATTGATTGGCACCATAAAAAGATATAGATATTTTTATTTACTTCGAGTTGACTTGAAAATTTCATAAATACAGTTCTATAATAATGAATACCACACATGGATTAAAACTAATGTTACGGGTTTTTTACGCATCTTGACTCCTCACCGAATGAAAGCACCGAAGCTCCGGGAAGTCTAAAGTATGTAAACATGTTTAGTATCGTCCCAACCATTATATACAACAAATTCTTGCAATAGAACACCGAATTCTACCAATGATGATTCGCGAGGCTATTGAAATTAAAAATATCCTAATTTTAATAGGGAAGATGGCTGAGTGCTACTATCTGCTAAGGACTCCATGATTAATAAAATTAAATTCAAACTACTACTGCATTTTAATTATTCTATTTTAACTATGACATCAGGTTGTCAAACACCTCAGTTCTCCCACCCCTCCCGTGACCATGGGTGCTATAAATTGCCCAAACCATCGGAAATTTAAAAAGTTAAAATTAAGCGCGAATAAAATCCTTAAAATTACTTTTATTCCTTATAAATTTTATACACAGTGAACGTGAGGAACATTACACTCATGAACGGGAGTAGAAAAATGTTCGCACTGTTGTGGCGGTGAAAGAAAATCCAACGCATCATATCGTCCCGTCGTAAGAGGCGACATAGGAAAAAAACAGTAGATGGGATGGGGCATCATCTTCTTGACAACAGATCAAAATAATAATAGCTGCGGTTGCTAACCCGCCACTATAGCAAATATCCAGCTACTTGACAATTTATGGGGGAGGCCTATGTTCATTTCAGTGGACTTTTGATAGGCTGACGATAATGAGTTCTACTCATCTTTGCAAGCCTTAATATTTATGGTAGAGTGAAAACATAAATTATCATACCCGAAAACACTAATGAAATAGAAACTGTAGAGCCACGCGGCAGCTTTTGCTGTCGCACGAATGGGCCGGCTCGAACCGGGGTGGTACCACGACCTCACAGAAAACCAGCGTGAAGTAGAGGTTTACCTATGCGCTTCCCTTGGTGAGTGCAGGTGGCCGGAGGCCCTTTTTACTGGAAATGAGGCATGGCAAGGTGACAACGCATCTACATTTTGATTTGTAATAGAGGATAGATGTAGATGTCTATGGGCCGCAGCAACCACTTACCATCAGGTGGACTGTGTCCTCGTTTGTCACCCTTGTCCTATAAAAAAAAATATATTGCCCCATGAAAAGTAAAAAAGCAGCTTACATACATGCTACTACTGGGCACAGGCTGTAGAGTTTTTGGCCAAAAAAGAGTTCGCTGCACTGATTCCAACGTAATGTAAATGTAAAATGATGAACGTAATGTAAATGATTCAATTATTTACATCGTATATTCAGTAGCATTGTATTATTTCATTTTATCAATGTCTTGCCATTTTAATTTATTTAGAAGTAAGTAGGTGGCGCTAATATTACATGAAATAATGAAAGCCAAAACTATACCATCTAGTAGTATCAGCAATAGAAACGAACATTTATTTATTATATCAAATCAATAAGGGATAAAGTGTAGTCAATTCTCTTAAAAGTTCTGTTTCTGTTAAAAATAAGCTATCAGCGCCGCTAGCGGTTAAAAACGATAATGATATCGTCATATGACCATATTATGAAATAGCAACGTTGTGTTTAGTTACTAATAACTTCAAAAGATTTCTATTCATTGATTTGGTCAAGCTATATAATGACACGGTCATCAAATAGTGTTAAATACAAATTCATTTCAGTCCTTTTTTCAGTGTTTTCACGAAATGATAGACTACTTTATGATATATGATCAATTCTACGATCTGGCCACGACTTACATAAAAATCTCTTTAATAAAACTATGATGATAATGAAAATTCTGCAACAATTGCAGACAGACCAGTTTTTATCACTTTACATATATATTAGTAATTGAAATAAATACCTTATCAATTTTCATATTTTTGATACACATCACTATTATCTATTGAAATTATTACACTTTTAAAATAAAATATCTAAATACTAAAAAACTGAACGTTACAATTTTTTAATAATTTTAAAAATCTAATAATTTAATCATATAAATGTAAGTTATTTATATTATTTCATTTATTAGTAACTGAAGGCAAAATATACAACTTTTTCCATTTGATGATAGATGGCGCTGTTTTGAATACGAAATCGGTGTAGTTTCAAATTATTTTACCAAGATTATAACTATATTTTAAACTTTATTTACAAATATGGTAATATGGTATTTATTTGAAAAACACCCGTCATTCCGCCTATAACTAAGATACAACAGAAAATTAACATCTAAAGGAAATTAATATACTTAACCTTCCTTTTTTGAAGTTCCGTAATCGGATAAAAAGTAGCCTATAAGTTGCCCCGGGTTACTGACTACCTACATACAAAATTTCATGTAAATCGGTTCAGTAGTTTTTGCGTGAATCCGGAATACACAGACAGACAGACAGACAGACAGAAAGACAGACAGACAGACAGACAAAAATTCTAAAAACCACTAATTTGGCTTCAGAACCCTTTATTTAGTCCCCTGGACTTGTTTTTTCAAGAATATATTAGAATTACAGACACGACTTTTCTACAGATTTATTATATGTATAGATAATTTGAAGGAACATCTGTTTACAAATCAGCGGAAAGCGCGGTAGCAAAAAGACGAAAATTTAAAATAATTGCAAACAGATCACCTTGTAAATTGGGACCACTATGGAGAATATCGTTCAGTGAGCGGCCTGAACTCGATTTATGACTCGCGTCGAGAACCATGCGAAGTTTAGTAGTGGTCTTATCTGTACGCAAAACACCGTGGTGTGGTATGACGTAAACGGGATAGCAGTTATCACTGTCAACAAGCGGCGCGGGTGACAGATAGCCCTTTTCTAAATATTCGTGGATAACTGAGTCATACGCGGCCTTAAACTCAGGAGCGGCTTCAAACTTCCTCTCCAACATCAGAAAACGTTTCCGAGCGGTTTCATAAGTATCACCAAGCGAAAATATATCATCTCGGAAAGGCAACGATACTATGTATCTGCCCGTTTCTTTGTCACGTTCAGTGGTTTCGCGAAAGAAATGCTCACACTCTATCTCAGCCGGGGACTGAGTGGGCGGAGTTCTCAAAGGAGATTCATCTATTTGACAAAACCGTTTTACCAACGTATCTAGCGGGTCTTCCTCGGCGTATGCGGGTAATGTACTACAACACGTCAAGGTTACGTTTTCGCGAGCGGGAAGAGCGGGCACAGTGCTCGTAGCATCAAGGTCGTTGTAAACGGTGCATGCTCTGACTACAAGCCTATTAACGCTGGTGTTCCACAAGGCTGTGTGCTATCACCAACACTGTTTCTTCTGCATATCAATGATATGTTGCTAACTGGTAACATTCATTGCTATGCGGATGACAGCACTGGTGATGCTCTATACACCGGCCGTGCCAATATTTCTCGGGAAAACGTCGCTGAGTACCGGAACAAACTTGTGTCTGAAGTCGAGTCTTTGCTGAACAAAGTCTCGGATTGGGGGCGACTAAATCTAGTCCAATTTAATCCTCAGAAGACACAAGTTTGTGCGTTTACCGCTAAAAAGAACCCCTTTGTCGTATCTCCTCAGTTTCAAGGCACTCCCCTTCTTGCCTCAGCCAGTATCGGTATCCTCGGAGTCGACATATCGAGTGACGTGCAGTTTCGTGGTCACTTGGAAGGGAAGGCCAAATTGGCCTCTAAAAAGCTTGGCGTGCTCAGCAGAGCGGGACAGTATTTCATGCCGGCACACCGCCTGCTACTTTACAAGGCGCAAGTTCGGCCTCACATGGAATACTGTTCCCATCTCTGGGCAGGGGCTCCCCAGTGCCAGCTCCTTCCACTTGACCGCATCCAACGCAGAGCGGCTCGAATTGTCGACGACCGAGCCCTTTCCGATCGGCTCGATTCATTGGCACTGCGAAGAGATGTTGCATCCCTTTGCATTTTCTTTCGCATCTACCATGGGGAGTGCTCTGAGGAATTGTTCGGATTAATCCCAGCCGCCAAATTTCACGAACGCACATCGCGGCAGAACTCCCGATACCATCCACACCATCTGGATGATTGGCGGTCCACCACTGTGCGATTTAGAAGATGTTTTCTTCCTCGCACGACCTCTTTGTGGAATCGATTACCATCAGCGATTTTTCCGGACCGATACGACTTAGGGACCTTCAAGAAAAGAGCGTACTCCTTTTTAAAAGGCCGGCAACGCATCTGCGATTCCCCTGGTGTTGCAGTTGTTCATGGGCGGCGGTAGTCACTTACCATCAGGTGAGCCGCATGCTCGTTTGCCCCCTCTCCTATAAAAAAAAAAAAAAAAAACACAACCCATGTGAGCGCCATCTAACGACAGTGAGGTTTAACACTAACGAAATTACGCCGGAGTGTTATAATAGACGAAACGCAGGTAAATATACAGATCTAACAAAGAAATAGATGGGACAACGAAATTATTATATATATTTTTAATTAAATGTTACTTGAAAATTTAAGGATTTGGGTGATTTTGAAATAAAACTGATTCGATGAAAATTAAATTATTTTT